TGTACATAAGAACGAGCAGTGGGGAGGACACCAGTCGGCGGAAATGGCCTAATCAAGCGACTGAGAATGGTGACTTGACCTACAGCCAAATAAGGAAGATCTCCCCGCGGAGCATTTGAACTACACAGATCTTGGTGCAAAATCAACCTCTTTTACAATTCGGAGAGAAGGCCAGCGAGTATAAATAACTATATTAGCAGTCAGTCCGCAAAAGGAGGTTCGCTCCCTTTTGTACGTGACATGTCCCGTCTCCATAGCATTGCATTGGGGTCTCCCTCTTGAGTAGGGAGACCAACCTCGCCATGCCACATCTCGGAAGGGAAATAAAAGAAGTGCTGCAATACGAGAGTGCTATATAGAAAGAATCACAGTTCGAATTTTAATTCTTCTGGTTGAGACTCATCTTTCGTGCACAATCTTGTTCTATTTGTGACCCGATCGATACATACCTAACTTACACAAACATCAGGATATAGGCCGAAAGAGTGATACAAAACAATCCTTCAGTTGAATGCCGGGCCGGGAAAATGGTTGAGACTGACTGAGATTTGTCTTGACTCTCCGTTGGTCAATGGGTCAGTCCAGCACGCTGGAACCCTGCGAATTGGGCAGAACATCGGATTTTCTTTCCTACGGTAAGTCTGTGTAAGTCACATGGTGTTAGGCATCTGTGGAAATGGAAAACCCGGAATTCACTAGTTACGTGGTAAACCGCAATAAATTGTGAGACACCCACTCTCCCAGAACGTGCAGCCACCTGCAGGTAATCCGACCAAGAAATCGTACAAAGATCACACTTTACGTTTGAGGCCGAGAGGCTTCTAGAATCTCAAAGACAAAAGCGCAAGCAACGTTACACAGAAAATTATTGCGAAGGCATGACAAAGCAGGCATGGCTTTCATTGAATGACGTTCCCGGGTTGGACAAGTCCCCTGATGTCTCACAACCATGCGATCTCCCATCACGACCACACCGCTTTACATTGTTTGCAACACGAAATATTCAATAACGGTATTTAACCATACGTTGTGTGGCCACAATTATTCGCTGGTGATGTTTGTTATTGGGATCGCTCATGGCTGCATTGTGAGGCGATGTCGCTGTGTCAACACCTGGATAAGATCACGAAAATCACACAATTTGAGAACATATGATGTTTGAGTACAACGCAATTATGTCATTGAATGTCTAAAATACTGCTATGGCAGCTTTTTCCATATTCCTCCATCCAATTAATGCTATTAGTCTAATGAATGTCATGGAGATCGTTGATTATATCCGTCCGTCGTCACGGCGTAGTCGTGGATGAAGAGTGGTATCCCAAAAAAAGCAAAGTCCAACTCCAAAAGCTTGCGCTTAAAGGGTATTAAAAAGATATTGTCATGAATCGCGAATAAAGAACAAGTGTCGTGAGAATAGTGCACCCTTACAGGACAGCCTGCATCTCGAGGACAGGAACCTTGAGCTGCTTCTGCTGGCAAGTCACCCGACGGTTGGAGTAGGCCTTGTCACCGCCAGCCTTGTAGTGAGCGTTCTTCCAGGTCTTCTCGGTACACTTGGGAGTGAAAGTTGTGTTGCCCTTGGCCTCGTACCAACCGCCCTCCTTCACGCAGGACCAGTGCTGGAAGATGGCGATGACGCCGGACTTGCGGTTGTACTTGAACGAAGCAGAGTCGCCCTCGAAGGGCACATCGCAGTTGTAGTCGGTGTTACCAGTGAAGAAATCCTTCTTGGCGTCTGTGGACTTGCCTGAGCACTTGCCCTCATAACCGACACCACGGTTCTGAAGGGTGAAAGTGACGGTGGCAGAGTTTGTCTGCTTTGTGGGAGTGTTTTGGGTGTAGACGGCCTCGTACTTGAAGTCCTTGACAGTCCATTCAGTGACCTTGCTGCCCTTGTCCATACAAGTCTCTCGCTTGGTGAGAGTCTGAGGGAGGGCCATGGCGGAGGTGGCGAGGCAGAGAAGGGTGAAGAATTGCATGTTGGCGATTATTGAGAGGCTACTGCAAAGTAGTACGAGTTGAGGGAGGAGTTGAGAAAGATTTTAAGACTGATTATAAGGAGCAGTGAGGAGGTTGGTCTGTGAAAGAGACTAGGTAGACTGCGGGTTGATGCAGGATGATCTTTGTCTGTGATGGGAGATGATGATCTTTTGGAGTTGAAGTCAATTGATGATGATCTTTTAACCTCGAATACGCGAGCAGACAAGGTCTTCTTTATACTTCAACCTAACTCACTTGGTTACCAGTGAATTATGCATATCCGTGACTCAGATAGGACCGAATTCACTACATTCTCAGCACAAGCGTTGAGAATGATGGAGAATATGTCAAGTGACGCACCACAACTCACCCAACTTCCAGTACAGTAAGGTGCACTTGCTGGGATCTCGTATTCCCGCCGTGGGGCTATGTCCTCAGCTCGGCAGTCCGGTACGGTTTTGTGCATGCACAGCGCGCCTAAAATAGTAGCTCAGGTAACTAACAAAGGCCCAGAACCTCTTTCTACAGGGTGATACTATTGCTTTCCTGTGTGCTGTTATTGATTCTTGATTCGAGATATTAGGGGTACGTTGTATTAATCTTGCTGGTCTATGCTACCCCGACGGACGATGCGGGACGGAAAATATAATGCGCTGTCAAAGGTCCCAGGAATGCCATAATCTGTAGCGGATTACCCCAAAAGATCACAAGCTTCCACTGAATGCCTGCCGGGGTCTTCTGTAAGTCAGCGTTGAAGACCCGCTTACAGTGGAGGAGTCTAGAGTCTAGGAACCAGGCCGTAGGTCCGCATGAAACATTGACGACTGGTGGGCTTTTCTTTATGCTTGTTTGATCACGCTCAAGGTTCTTTGCAGAGTTATTCAAGTTGAGCTTCTACAATGAGTTAGTTGGACCTTCACCAGCCACCACACGTATTGACGGCAGACGGGCTAACCGTCGTCAAACAGTTTTCCGTGCCGTCAAAGTTCAAGGGTGGCTGGCATATGCACTAAGCTAACGCGAAAATCGAAAGATCACTAACATCATGGATCTTGGTAACTTTCATGGCATATCAAAGCTCTCATGAGGTAATTATGTTGGGAAAAACTCTTCAAGCTTGGTTACTAGGCCGGTAAGAATAGGGTAGTAACAAAGGATCAAAATATTGGACAGTCTTTGCAAGCTTGCGACGAATGATATCTCGTAGAACGGTACACAGTCACGATGTACGTATGCATGCAAGTCAAAGCAAAAGGCATGATAACACGACAGGCAACAGCAACGGATCCTCGTGGCAAATTCACAAGTTACGCTGTGTGTGTAGATTTTCAACTCCCAACTGTCCCAGTCCTTGTCAAAAGCGGGAAAAGCGGAAGAAACCTCAAGAAGCTGGACTGTGCCGTGTCTAATTCTAGACCCAGGATCCAACCCCATCTCACCAACCTATGATCGGCGAGTCCACCTCTCCGCATAAACGAGAGGAACAACGACGGCCATCGAATGTTTGAACAGGCACGGGGAGAGGGGAGAGGCACAGGTTGGGCCCTGTTACGGTGACCGTCAGGGGGCTTTACTGTTCATTCACCGTCCGCAACGTTTCCGTCAATCATAACTCCAGGTATACACTTTTATTAAGCGTGCCACAAACAATTTCCAATGACGGCTATCAGCCAACTCCAAGAGAGCGGTCTGCGGGCGATTGCCTCATTGACATTTCACGGCGCTAGGTATCCGATGGCATTGACCGCTAGTGATCTAGGTCTGTGGAACCCCAGAAAGCCTCGGCAGGGGTCTTCCCTCTCAGCTCATGACTTGCATCCCGCCCCGTCATGCATGGTGTTGCTAAACATATCGACAGGCAAACAATAATTATTAGGTTGTCCAAGTGGACGTGGGCTTCTGACGTTTACGTGACATCGTTTCTCTCTCTTTTCTGCTCAATTGCCGTGTTTGTTCATATCTTGCGAGTTTTCTTTTTTGAGCATCTGTCTCGGACGGAGCCACGTTTATTGCATGTGCGACGGCCCGTATCGGTATCCCACCAGCCGCCGACGCCGGAGCCGATTGACGACGGGACATTTGTGATCCCGCTGTCGGAAGTCTGGGACTTTACTTGTGAGAGGCTGCGTCGTTTTGTACGATGTCGAGTATTGGCTGGTAGCGAGGAATGACGTCCACTGTCTAGGTACCGAATGGCCCCGTGTGAAGGTCGAAGCTGAACCTTGCAGAGCGCGAGGACTTCAATTCTATGTGAAACCTTATAGTTTGGCTGCCTCATCGATTGCTCTCTTCGTCTACGCCTTGTGCCTTCGGGAGACGTTTGTCAAGCTCTTGAGCATTTCCCATTTGACAAATAGCCAGTATCTAACCGAGTCTTGAAGTGGTATATCTCCAAACAGGTTCTTATCCCACTGCAAAAGTGCGGCTCTTTCGTGGATCACAGTGGCTTAAGCCACCGTCGGCGTTCAACAACACCCATCTGTACGATTTCGGACTTTTACCAACTGCGATGCTACGTTGAACCTTTGCCTCGTCATGTATCTATGCGAGTAATGGAAGACTCGTCCCGTGTTCTCAACGTCCTTCTGTATTGTTACGGGCGATTCATCGAAGCAATTGGCTTTGGAAGATGGTTACGTATCATTGGCCTTGAAGCAAATGAATCTCGACAGCATGTAAAGGCACTTTTTGATATGTAACCATCGTATCGCGGCCAAGGCAAATGTAGTGACATGACCTGCTTGTTGAAAGAACAAACTTATTCGGCAGTCCTTGTCATGCAACTGCGTGAAGTCTACGAACGAAATTAGACGTCGTGACGACGATAGATTATGGAAACAGTAAAAGTATCCTCGACGCAACTGTAGCTTGTATTCATAGTTCTCAGGTTTAATGTACTATGTGAAGCAGCGAAATGAGATGCATGTGTATGAGAGAAAAGAGATATCCGAGTTGATTCAAAACCGAGATCACAGCGTTTGCTATTGGATATCTCTAATAGTCGTTACTCAAACCCCTCAAGGCAGGCGCTTGCCTGAGCGCGTAGCTTGGCCAACTTCAGAGTTGGTAGTATCTTCGGCATATCTCTTATACGCAATGATGTATCGTTCGTCGGCACTCCAGGTCTCCTTCACACTGTCGCGACTGAGAATTGCGTCATACCACTTCTTCCACCTCTTCCAAATCTCTCCATCTTTACCTTCTCCAGATTCCGGGATACCATGGCCGCCCTCCTTGTAGTGATCAATTAGAAACAAACGCTTCGCCCATGGTGCTAAGCAAATATCCACAAGACTCAGAGTCGAGCCGAGAAACCATGGGCCTTCAGGGTCCATCTCCTCAACGAGAGACTTGATGCGTCCTCTCAGTTCTTCTCGTGCCTCATCAAGGCTGAAAGGCTTGTCGAGAGTGTGCTGCATCAGCTTGTACCATGAGGGAATGATGCGTGTGCTGATATGATCGATCCAAATACGACATCTTGCCTTCTCATATGGATCGGTAGGAAGAAGTCGAGGCCCATACTTAGACTCATCCGTGAACGTCTCATCGAGATATTCACAAATGATGTTGCTCTCGAACAGAGGCTTCTGTACCTTGCCCTTCGAGTCAACGGGTACTGCAAGAGTAGGGACCAATCCACGGGGATTCATGGCCATAAAGTGAGCCTCTTTCTTGTATGGGTTGATCTCTACATATTGATGGGGAATCTTCTTTTCGTGAATAGTGATCCAAGTTCGTTGGACGAATGGGCAGAACCAGCCTCCGTAGAGCTTCAGCGGATGCTCTTCAGCATGTTGAGCTGCAAACTTGGCGGCTGCGCCAGATGGTTCTGGAGGTAGAGAAGTGTCGACGTTTGTCATGATGGACCTAGCTCTGATATTAATGAACCTTGTTTTTCTTGACCAAGCTGAAAGCAGGGCTTGCAAGAAATAGGTTTGTTGCATGTCTAACGATGGTGATGGGCTGAGGTCGAGTTAATGACGTCGAAGTAAAGGTGGAGTTTAGAGTCAGGAAATGGTTGGTAGGCGACATCTTGTTCAATAATTACGCTGCACAACGCTCATTAAAATTGTGATATGTATTCCTAGACCTCAACTCAGTCTTGGTATCCCAAGACTTATACATATCGGTAAGACTTATTACAATGGGCGTTGGCTGACCATGATTTCCATCCATTGAATGAGCTTAGACATTACCTGAAGTATGACATATGACGAACAGTGCATAATGGTACTCGACACCGTCTTCTTATCGTTATCGCCGCTATCGAGTCAACCAAGCCATTTTATTCCACCAACTCTTACAAACTAAACCATAAAATGTCAGATTCAAGAGCGTCGCGGTTCACGCCGCAGAATAAAACTACCAATGAACGACTCTCCACGCATACGGTCGGTCTCGTTGCCCTCTCCGATTTTCGCAAGCGACGCGCCGAAGTCCTTGAACAACAGGAGCGTGAATCTCGAGAAGCTGCGTTTTCAGGCACGTCCACTCCGGATGCTTCCTTGACAGGCACTCCTGACATCGCTGGCAGTGATTCTGGAAGTGGTGCGCAACCATTGAAGAAGAAGAAAAAGAAGCTGGGGAAGAAGCTGTTATCGTTCGACGATGAAGAGGGTGAGGATGAGGGGCCATTGGTAAAACCGACGAAGACCAAGAAGGCTCGCGCAGACGATACCGAAGGTAATGAAGGCGAGGTCAAGACCAAATTCAAGGCAAATGCTTCGGTGGGCATAGTGCCCAAAGCCATGACGAAAGCTGCGTTGCGCAAGGAAGCCGCTGAACGAGACGCATTACGCCGCGAATTCTTGGCTATACAAGCAGCCGTCAAAGCAACCGAGATTGCGCTACCTTTCGTATTCTACGACGGGACTAATATTCCTGGTGGAATCGTCAGATTGAAGAAGGGCGACTTCATATGGGTGTTCCTCGACAAAAGCCGCAAAGTCGGCGCCGATCTGGGCGTGGGTGAAAAGTCCAATGCAAGGAGGGAATGGGCCAGAGTTGGAGTGGACGATTTGATGCTTGTTCGTGGAACAGTCATTATACCTCACGTAAGTCTTCTCGCTGACGCTTATTATTGAACAGTTTCTGATTGCTATCTAGCATTATGACTTCTACTTCTTCGCCATGAACAAGACACCCGGTCCTGATGGCGAGCCTGTATTTAAGTACAGTGCGGAGCCTCCCCGAAAACCCGAATCGATCGATAATGCCGAACCCAGTGATCCTCTCGTCACGCCCGCCTCCAAGGCTGCTGCTGCGGATGCGCTTCCCGATATCAGCACCCTTGAGGGCGCCGACGAAGATCCCACCCTTACTAAAGTTGTTGATAGGCGGTGGTACGAGAAGAACAAACATATCTTTCCTGCGAGTATGTGGCAGGAGTTTGACCCCGAGAAGGACTACGGGAAGGAGGTGAGGAAGGATGCTGGTGGTAATACGTTCTTCTTCTCGCGCTGAGATGGTGCTGTCGACTGTCACAAAACATCGATATGTGTTTGGAAATGCGTTGTGTCGACTCCTTGGGCGTTGGATATATCACGAGTGGATCACCTTTGAGTTTGGCTGAGAGGTCATAGAGACACTCAAAACGCGTGGGAGAAGCCTCAACCGAAGAGCATCCAGCCTGCCCAGCACGCGCCTGCGAGCACCCACCATCCAGGCCAGAAGAGCATGAGGAAGACCATATTCCCGCTGCCGAGAATGAAGACGGCGAATTCGTACCAGAGCTTTTTTCGTAATCTCTGGACATTCTTGGAGTTCCATGCACTGGCGACGGCTTGGGTAGACATGTTGAAGCTGTGAAAAGCGCTATACTTTGTTGCGATGAGGACGTTTAGGGACACGATCTTGCTCCCCTGGAGGACGGCGACGAACGCGCTGCTCGCGATGATGCAGGCATGGAGGCAAAGGAAGATGGAGATTGAACCGACAAGGCTTTGGAAGCGAAGGGCAATTTGTAGTGACGGAACGATCAACCTGGTGATGTCGGACCGGGGATGAGTCGAAACGTTCAGATCCACTTTAGAAGCCGTTAGAAGTGTAGCTTTGTCCATGATCTCGATCTGGGGATGGAGTCTCGATTAAGTACCGAAATGAACCAACGGTAGATCGAGGCTTGCAACAGCACAAGAATACCAGAGAAGAAACGAGAATGTTTTTGACTTATTCAATAAACCCCACCATCTGCAGTATTGATTGACTCTTTGGTGTTTATATAAATTATCTTCAATTCCGACCCCCACTCTGCATCTCCATAGCATGCCCAACACCTCCCGCATCCAACGGCAAACGCGAGGCTTTTTACCGTCTAGAACGGTCACAAGCCCGAAACTCGACAATCACATTGCGCTTCTGCCAAACGTAACTTGCTGATATGAAGCCTCAGGCCCGTTTCAAGCCCCTCATCCAGGGCAGAGTGAGCGATTGAAGGGTTGCAACGCGACGACCCACGGCGACACGTGGGGCCGCTGATTCGTTGCTCGGGAGACTCTTATTGACAATTGAATAGCGAGCGCGGGATGGATCATGGCCTCGATGCCGGATCTGGATAGGTAGTGGGTGAGATCTTCAAGACCCTGAGTAAGGGACTTTGCTGCACGTGGGAGTGAAATCGTCTTTTGGGGGAGTCAGAGACTAGCAAACATGGGAAAGTTAATCGTGTGGATTCGTGGAATAGCCATAACATATGGCGTCCAAGGTAAGCTATTGTATGGAGTGCAGCGGGAGCCAAGCCCCAATGACAGACTCCACGTGGGAACCTGGCTGCCGTCGTTCGCTCGTCGAGGCCCGAGTATCGACTGATCGTCGACCGTTCCGGATTTTAACGATCGGGGGATTCCCGAGACGGAGTACGGTATTTGTAAAGCGTAGTCCGGGCTTGTAAAATGGTAGCAACGCTTGGCTACAAGGAATGAAGCGCTGTTCGTTACTATAGCCCATGTATAGGCCAACATTCTTTGTCTATGCTTGACTGTATTGGGGAAATAAATTCTGTCTCTGGTTTCATCAAGTATAGTCCCGTATGATTCGCTCTGTAGCAGGTAAATAAATAATTTCGATTTAAGAAAGACATACAGCATTAATCAACTCTTACTTCAGCTTCTTAGTCCACCAACTCTTCTGAGGTAACAGTACTCTCCCCTAGATACCCAATTTACACGCTTGCCTTTTTCGCCTCCTTCAAATCACTTCGAGTCTGAACCAGCTTGGACATCTCCTTCGCAGTCTCAGATTCAAGCCTAGAAAAGCCCTTGATGACTCCCTCTCGATCACCCATACCCATCTCTTGGCTCATCTTGAATTTTCCTCCCATGTGCGTGATATCAATTTCGATTCCAATGATACTCTTCTTCAGAAGCTCGATGAACCGATCAGGGGCATCAGATACCTTCCAGTCCACAGGGTTGTCGCCGCCAGTAAAGCCCATGACATTAGTCTCAGCGTGGCGGCTGAGGTCAGAAATCTGTTTCGAAAGAAATTGTCCAGCCTCGTCGGTCTTGGTATCGTAGAAGACTTTGGCGCGGCCGTAGACCTGTGCTGCGGCGTAGTTCCATGTTGGAACAACCTTTCCAGTCGTGGGCTTGGTTTCTGTGTAGAACTTTGGTGTGACATAGTGTTGAATAGGAGAGTTGAAAATGACTATAACGTCCTGCTCGATTACATTATCCAGGTTCGGATTTTCGGTGAGGTTCTCGATCATGGCTTTGCTCTGAGGGTTGACTCGGGCGAGGTGACCTCGTAGCTTTCCCAGCTCCGTCTCGCTTGATTCATCCTCGATGTCTAGAACGAAAGGTATATGGCTGGACTGAAGAAAAGGGAAGTTTGGGGAGGGAATGGCGGTAGTCAGAAGACCCAATGGGTTCTCTCGAATCAGCTTCCTGAGCACCGGAAGCTCGGTTTCGGCGTGAGGTCCTTTGATGTACATTTTTGTTGAACTTGGATATTCGAATACGAAGAGTGTGATTTTGGGAAGATACTGAGTAGAGAACAGAATTTCAAATTCTGTGGCGGGTATTTATTTGCCGGCAGTCAAGAGTCATCCAAGGACTATACAAAAACAAAGGAATGCCCTGGACCAATTACAAGAGCTGTAATAGCAATTCAGGGTGCTGGCTTGAGTATCTCCTCGGAGCTTTATTTTAGCCAGCGGCATCGAGGTCGATCATATGGAATCATTATAGCTTTGTATATGTTAAACTGACTTGCTTTGCCCACAATCGTCATAGTCATGTGGGAACTCATAAGGATGGCGGGCTCCAGTAGATCAGTCTCACGAGTCCATTCCTATTTCGTATAATTTTGACGACTGACTTGTCTTGGTATTTGAAGCTGAGTCACAGGCCATTAACAAACGCGATGCTCAGTAGTGGTCGGACAAGCCTAGCCTCTAACAACTTCGTTGTGGGAGTGTCATAAATTGCCGAGACTTGACAGGCTGCAATGTCGAACCATATTTACAGCTGAACTTTGTAAACCAAATTTCTGATTGGTTATTGATGCCATCTTGGCTTTGGAATCATTCTTCAAGTTTGCGGGGCTGCGGGGTTGAAAGATGTCTGAATGGTTCGATGTTTTAAGCTGCATCTTTTGTTTTACGACTCATCTAATCAGCTGGATTTTATTGCGTAACTATAAGTGACTTCCATGGAATTATGGCTGATTGGGGAAACAATAAGCAATCATCATTTTTGCCTCTTTGGGAAGTTTATATCCGTCAGAGTAGTACGTGGGCGGCAGATGTGTAAACTCACGGCTGGAGAAGACTTGCCTGCTTGTGTGAGCTATAGTAGGACTCATAAGTATATATGATTTGTAATTTCCTTCACTATGGCGCCTTGCGATTTGGAAACATCATATTGTGTTTCCTTTTCGGGGCATATAGACTTAACTTGCATAAACGCGATATTCGGGGTTCTATGTTTGGGACCCTGAGACTGGAAGCAAGGAAGCTCTTCCGTTGTCTTTGGTATAAGCACAAGGAGATGTTTTGTATGATCTTTGGTGGCTTTTATGATAATAGATTTAAAGATACAAAGATGCTTTAATCGTTATTATTTCATTCTGAACGCTATGCACTATGAACTCAATGCTAATCCCAAGCAGCAATCCAGAACTTAAGCAGCGACTGGAACAATCTTGGCTTCCTCCTTGACCTCCTGCTTAACTTCTTCCTTAGTAGCTCCATTGCTGCCATCGGTGCCGCTTTTGCCATTTTGTCGCTCCTTCAGAGCAGCTCGTACGCCAGGTAGGATGTATCGACCATAATCGATGGCATCGTTCAGGTTATCGTATCCACGGATAGAGATGAGCTCAGCGCCAAGGTTGACATAGTCAAGAATAGAATCAATAATAGTCTGGTGAGAGCCTACCAGGGCTGTAGATGCACCTCGAGCATTGGTGGCTGTGACGGTAGGATACCAGAGAGCACGATCTTGGACCTCACCCTTCTTGGCGATATCTAGCAGACGTTGGGACCCAACGTTCTGGGGGCGGTTGTCATTCGGTGCAGCCTTGCCAATCCCCTTGGGTCGGTTCTCCTTGAGGAGGTCTAGGGTTCGGTGAGCCTTTGCCCAAGCGATCTCTTCTGTATCGCCGATGATAGGTCGGAAGGTAACCCAGATGCGAGGACGATCTTGACGGCCAGCCTTCTCAGCCTCGGCGTAGATACGATCGATCTGCTCCTTGGTTTCCTTGAGCGGTTCGCCCCACAGACCAAAGATATCGGCGAGAGCGCCACCAATACGGTAGGCATCATCAGATGAACCGCCTACTGAGACGTCGATGTGCCCATTCGTGGGGCGGACTTGGTTGGAAAAGTTCTTGAAAGTATAGTACTTGCCCTCCCAGTCGAAAGGCTCAGGGGAAGCCCATGCCCGTCGGAGAATCTTGATATACTCCTCTTGACGAGCATATCGCTCAGACTTATTCAAGAAATCACCCTCACGGGCTTGCTCAGTATCATCTCCACCAGCAATGAAGTGAACAACAACTCGGCCCTTGCCAAGCTGGTCAAGTGTAGCGAGAGCCTTGGCAGCGACGGTAGGGTAGAGGGTATTAGGGCGAAGAGCAATGACAATCTTGATTTGCTTGGTAACAGCTAGGATAGTGGCACCGATGGTGAAGGGGTCAAAGGAAGAGGAGTGATAGGGGATCAAAGTGTAGTTGAACTCGTAATCATCAAGATTCCGGGCATACCGGACGAGGAACTCTGGATCGATTCCAGCCCCGGGAATGGGGTTGAGCTCCGTAGAGGGGTTAGGGAAAGTTAGGCTGATGAATTCTGTAGGCATTTCGGCGCTGAGTTGTATGATATTATCTGATTTTAACGAAGCTGAAATCCGAGAGGTATCCCCAACTCTTATATCAATACTAACGTTACCTCGAAGTTGTTTTAGACCCGTTGTATATGCGTGCTAGTCGAGTTTCATTATTAATATCGAGTATGGCGAAATATTGCGACAGATGGTTGATGATCACGCCTTCGCACCCACCCCGATCTCGGCTTTTTAAGATCAACTGAAACCTTTGTCTGAGAGATTAAGAGATTAAGAGATTAAGAGAACTATGAAAACATCTATTCTATTTGGAACGTATACTTGGTTAAAGACGCGGTGATGATATAAATTTGCAATTTGTAGCTCAAATAAGTCTCATGCCCATCATGACCCACCTTGATAATTCACAAACTTTTCCAGTTGATATCCTAACTCTATTGCCAGTATTATTAGCCATTTGGCTCTTCAGATCTTCTCCAAGGTTCCCCGCTCACTTGCCCTCCAGCTTGTATCCTTATCCTCTTATGTGACAGGGTCTACGATGGCGTCAGATTGAAACAGATCCACCATAATGACACCTGCGGCCACCACCGACGGATCGATGTACCCGAATTCGATGCTATAAAGGTTCTTGAGCACCTCATTGGATACATTTATCGAAATCCTTATCTGGAGAGTCTGTCTCTATGAGCTGATCGGTCCATATTTGTTCAGATGTGGACTGTCCTAGAAGGTCTGTCGTTCGATCAACCAATACTTATTAGTGGAGGGAGTTGTCA